GCCTAGTAAAGTTCTTCAGATACATAAAAACCAAGTTCAAAAATCTTTTGAAAACTATAAAGTTGTCAGTTTTGTAAAGATTCTGCAGTAAGGGTAAAAAAAAAAAAAAAATAGGTTGAGTTATCAATATTTTACGTATTCTTAAAGCAGAACTTGTTCTTCCAGAGCTGCCAGGAGCCAGAGTCTACAACATGTTCAAAAAAAACTTCAGCTGCAATGAAAACTTACATGTATTTTTAATTAATACCTTTCTCACAGGGAAAATAAATAAATAAATAAATAAAATTCCACTCTTCAACCTCTCCCAAGAATTTAAGCTTCACACACTTAGCAGCAGCTTCATAGCTTTATAATACATTGTCTTCATACACCTTCAGATCATTCAAAATACTGTAAGAAACATACTTAGAAACAGTGTAAGTACTAACTGACATGCTTGTAACACCTGTAGCTCTGAGGTTTTCACTCTGCCACCCCAGAAGCAAACCATAACCAAAAGCATTCCTCAACCTAATCTTCAAGAAACCAGACTGTGAAATGAAGCACAGCACTACTTTTGGTACACTTACTAACACAAATTGCTTTCCATACTGTTTTCCGACCAAAACAACACTCAAATCCATCAGTGTCTGTGCAGCTAGAGTTCTAGAGGCAGAACTTAGCTGAAGGCACGAAGCCTGCTGAGCATCAGCACCCACAACACAACGAACAAGCCAGCTTCAGCAGAACTCTGCACAGAGGGTTGCTAGAAATTTGAAGAGATCAACCAGCAAGGAGATTAAAAGCAATGATGAAATTAAAATTAATTGTCAACACGCAAATCCTTAGGAATCAGAAGGTATCTGTATACTTAAAGAATACAAGAAAGCAGAAGGTTATGGAACTATATTTTCTTTCAAGAACAAATTGTGTACATCTTTGACACCATTGAGATCAATGAAACTTTCTCACCCTATGAAAGAGCATTTCATAAAACACACACAAAACTTTAAAAACATGAGAAACACGAGCATACCAATTCCAGAACAGAAGTTGGGACATGCCTGATAACAGTGTTAAAAGGATGCCCCAGAACTGTATGAGAAGCAGAGTATGGAATTGTCTCTATGACTTTTTTTTTTTTGTAATAGAACACTACAACTCATCACTGAATTCACAACTATTTGTACCACTCACCCTCAAAAGCCCATTACAAATCTGATGCACAGTTACACTAAAGCAAATCTATAAAGACAAATCAAAGAAAAAACACATAAAACCAAAACAACAGCAAAACCCACAAAAACAACAAAAAAGTTTCAGCATCTTAATGCACATCTACAAGGATTTATTTGAGCCAAAATCCTGAAGTCCTTAAAAGGCATCTTAAAAAGAACTCTTTAGGTACTGAAATCTTCTTATGATACTAAAATCAGATTATAACTCAGGATTTCACAGCTTCGACACTAGCTCTCAACACTCCATGCATTCACCATTTGGAAAGGAAAAATATTAAAAAGCATATCTTCAAGTTTTCTAATACATTGCACTGAAAAAAGCAGTACAAAGTACCAATTTGACCAAAACATTTTGATGTGTGGTGGATGAGCTTCTGGGCTTTTTTAATTCACTTCACCTTTTAGAGCCTCAAAAAACCCACCAGACCATCTGTGCAAATTTTCTGTGCTTTTGTTCGCCCTCTGCTGTCTGAAATGCAGAAAGTAACCCTCATACACAGCCGTGCAACTCAGGATTCAAGCAGTATCAGATCACTGCAGTTTTGTTTTTAGCTAAAAATCAAGGCGGGGGGGAAGAGGAAAATGAATATGAGAGATAGTCGATGGCTCTGCGTTAAAGGAAAACCCCAGAACACCTAAACAATGCAGGTTCTCAACTTACCAACCAGCTATTTCCAGAAATTTGCATGTTGATATCCATACAGGAACAAAAGAGATTACAGAAATACATAAATATTAGGAAAAAATATGTTGCCATTTCTTGCAACAATTATGAAAGCTACCTTGAAAGCAGATTATTAAAGAGTAGCAGTTAAAATAGCCAAAGGACTTACAGTGTAAAACTGAATTGGCTTTCTGCTGGCCACAGGAGCAACATCCATGATGACAACATTGCTGCTATTGAACTCCTAGGAGTGCCTTACTGTACTCTGCACGCACACAAAGAAGGGTCTGGATCACTTCACATCTCAAGGTCAGGGCTACGACTTATGGCACTCTGAGAACTGTCACAGCTTTCAACTGTTTCCAAAGTTCTGCTGACGTTTTTTTAAAGCACAAGCTGAATGAAAACAATTTCCTTTTTCTGTTCCTCTTCTATGATGAACCAAAACACAAGCCATTTTCCACCTCCAAACCCTTTTGCCATCCCCAGATACACCAAACCTGTCACTGATAAACAGCTGAATGTTATCTCCAATAACAAACAATATATTATTTTGTCACTGAGCACAGCAAGGAATACCTGAAGCTTGCAGACATCCAGTTTTCCACTGAGTATCTACCAGAGACGCAGCTTGTTCAATTCTAACAGAATGCTGCCAGCAATCTCCAACAAAGTACACTGAGGCAATGTAATACTTTAAACTCAGGAACAGTTTAGAAGGAAAATTGAGCAGACTAGTTCAAAAGTGCTGAAGCAGGCAGGAAGCTTCAGTAGAGGAGTCAAAAAAGTTTTCAAGACTGTTGGTGAGGATCGCATGCATTTGCTGGGCTTAGCGCTCAGAGTCCACTGGTTACGCAGCAACTGCTGGTGGTGAGAAAGGTCTGCCTAGGCTGAAATGGTGCAGGTGTAAATGCAATCATTTTGTCAGCAGAAAAAAAACAGAGTGGAAACCACACGCACTCCCACACTTTAAACAACCTATAATTTAAAAATACACCAAGAAGCATTCTTTTCATCTTCATTCGCTTTTACCATAAAATTCTCACTTGCTTCAGCATATTTTGATGCACCCATTCACAGCAGCATCCTTATGAATTAAAGTAACTCTGTTATTAAAACTAAATTAATAGAATTGCATAATCCTAATTATTTCTAATTTCATTCATGAAGGACACCAAGAAGATTCACATTAACAATGGCTGCTGCAGTTCTGGGAACAGAGAGAGTAAATCCATACGATGCTTATTTATATTCTTCATTATCCTACAAAACTTACATTCATTTGCATTAAAGACGATCTTTCATTTTCTCATTAGTCCACAGGAGAATGAGACAACAGGAATAAAGCTGAATCCCAATTCACCTACTGCTGTTCCTGCATTGTTTTGGCTGCTTCTTTTAGTTGGTTGAGTTTTTAATTTTTATTTCTTTATGTTAGGTATGATTCGAAGCAGAAGGCATTTAGCTACAACATAACTCCTCCATTTCTTCTTGGCACTCACTCAACATAAGGGAGCTGACAGCAAAGAACTCTTATCCAGGAGAGATCAAGAATGGACTCATACTAAACGTTTAGACTCATTTCTTAAACTGTATCTACCCTTTTATTCATCATTAATCAAGAAAAGTTACTCTATGTAACCAGGCACTCCCCACACAAGCGAATCAGTTCCCTGCCTGCATAGAGGAACTAGGGAAATACCTCTGTCTTCCATATCTGGTTCACAACGCTGGACTGCCATCGCCATAGCTTTTAATGGTTGAAAATACTGAAGAAAGGATGGAATGAAAGAAACTGCTGACAAAGCACCTGTCATCCCTCCTCCCACACAGATAATCAGTAATTTTGGTAGACTTCACACTATTTTTTCCAAATGCTAGACTTTAGCAATGAAGGTCTAGTTAGCAGATCCCTGCTGCCAGTGTAATGCTGCAGTACAGGACAGTGAACAGTCGATATCTTTACAAGTCACGAGCCAACACAAGCTGCACAAATGTACTCATGTTAAATTACACACAACAATCAAACTATTTCACAGCATTGCTGGATTCAACTCAATAAAGGCAGAAATGTCCTTGCACTGGACAGCTTCTCTTATATTTTGCAACAACGTCTCCAAAATACTCCAGGAGTCGTATTCAATAAGAAGGTCCCGTTCTGCCATGTGCCACATGCAAAACTCATACGCCAAGGACAAGATCCTCTCTTTCTTACACTGGATTCTCCCATGTGAAGAACAAACAGAAACAACTGAGACAGATGTTTACAATCACTGAGAACAGGGTCCTCATTCCTGACTGCTTCAACACCATCCAGTCACCCGGCTGGCTCTCCACACAGCTAAATCTCAACTCTCTTTGTCTAGGTCACTGCGCCAAAACATGAAAAAGAAGAAGACGGATCGATAAAAAAACCAATAAATAAAAACAAAGGCAGGGTAGCAGATAGAAATCTTTATTTCCATAGAATTTTTAATGGAACTAACATATGGATAGATATGAAACCTTACTGTACCTGCATCAATTCTTGTGAAAAATGTAAATAAAAATCACAGACTATTTCAACATGTCCATAGGTGATCATAAAAGCTGGGCTAGAACTTCTTAGTCTATACTACACAAAATGCATTGCTCCCACCTTCAGCCATCCATTGTATATGGCAAACACTACAAAACCCTCAGCAGGACAACATAAAGCTCATACACACAAACTTTCAGAACACAGACAGCATCAGCACTGAAGACATTTCCTCCGCTACCAGCAGACGCATCGTTAATAAAACTTGCATATACAAATGTCCACAAAATGTCTTACCAAGATCAGTTCTGACAGCAAAAGATAACATGTCATTATGCAATCTCATAACAAATTACTGCAAAGAAACATTGATTTTTTTTTCCTCTGTATCATTAATTCAAGAAAATTGACTACAAACAAATATAATTATCTACAGAAGAACTCAAAGTGCAAGACATCTTGCAGCACTTCTGCAAAAGAGCAGTGACTTTGGAGTAGACAGGAAAGTAATTTTGAACAGCTGGAAATTATAATTACAGTGTAACAATGCAAAGTCAAAACACTGTTTCCCTGTCTGCCAAAAGCTAAACCACAGACTTACCTTAAGATACAGAAGCAGCTTTTGGCCCCAGAAGATAAGCGACAGAACCCAAACCTCTGTTTGCTGTCAATGTCTGTAAGGACAAATGTAAAGTTCTGTCCAACTTGGCTAACTGCATGGCTGAAAATAAAGAGAATAAAAAGGAAAAACTTAATGCTGAGCTAACTTCAAGTCAAAGGTATCCACCAATCCAAGTATGCAAGTCCCATAGCATCTCCTCTTTTACTAGAAGGTTGTGTTTTTGTTGTTGTTTTTCCCTCCAAGAAATCAAATCAGAAAATACATATCCTCTGAAAACTTAAATATGCAAGTGGCTTTAGTGTGGGATGATACTAAACAATGCATTTATCTTTAAACAAAAAAGGATAAACTATTTTCAAAGCAGTACATACAGCACAAACAAAACCCTTGTTCTGTCATGCAGGCAAAATATTATTCTTCATTTGAAAATCTGTTTACTCTAAGAGCAAGACAATGCTTCATAAATAACATGCTGAGCTTATCTGACACTTGGATATTGACTTACTGAAGTCTTGCATCTATCTACCAATTCTGTAAGTATGCTGTGTAGACCATTCCTCAGTGACCAGCAACTCTGCCCATGCCGGAGGACTCTCCTTTACTCTAGCAGCTTTGCAATCAGTTAAAGGAAAGAACATACTATGTGCAAAGGAGGAAAAGATAACTGGGATCAAAAGCATACTGCACTACAGCCAGCTATGACTGTAGGCATGATTTTTTAAGACTTTAAAACAATTTTTCCAAGTCATCTGCCTCATCTGTAGGATCTAAAAGGCTCTTCAAGAGCAGCACAGATGAGCTGATAACTTCACAGATATTGGCTGCCACTCACACCCCGGTGGGAAGTATCACTCTAGCAAAATCTAGCTGGATTGGAAAACTCAGGTAAGTGCTCAGAATGGTCACATCAAAAAAATTTGCTTTACGTTCAGGCACAATACTTTTTGAATGCTGTTTATGAACAAAATGAAAGACATATCTAAGGTACACCACATCTATCTGAAGTTGATCGAACACTCGTGTGGTGATGGTAAGTTCCATTCAAACTAAGCCAATTCACCTGCCACTTTGCTGAGATGTAGTTATACTGCAGAGATGTAAGCTTACTACTTAACATAAATGCTGATTTTTCAGTGGGAAAGCTGTGACTAATAAAATTATTAGCTGACTTAGATTTTCAATTTGATTTCTCATAATGATATGAAATTAACACTTATTTCAGGTTGTTTTTTCAGTGAGAACAGAAAAACATGAATAAAATTTGCATGTGCATCTTTACAACTCAGTAACAACAACAACAAAAAAACACAGAATAAAATTTCAGGCCAATTAGCTATCATAGTAATGAGCCCTAAAAGCAAGCAAATATCTAGAGAAAATGAAGAAAAATAGACTTTCATAAAGAAAGGTTGGACCCATCCAGCACTAAGTGCTCCATATTCACAGGAGGACAAAAAGAAAGACACTTAAGAGCATTTCAGTACCCCGAGAATTAGCGTGAGTACTAATATCCTGCAGAATTCTAACTGTCAACAGAACAGCATTTCCATAAACCATACTGAGCTGGTAGGGTATACCAAAAAATCCCTTACTGGTGCTAAGTTTTATCTGTAAAGCTTGGATGTAATGTTACTATGGTGATTTTACTATGGTGTTTTAGAAGAGGATTACATGCTTAATTTTAACAAGGCCAAGAGCAGAGTGTGTGCAGAAAAGCATTCTAGCTGACAATTAAAATTATGGAACAGGAGAGAAAAAAACATGCTTCACTCGCGGCAGGGAGAAGCTTGTTTATCACCCAATTGCAACAAGTTGGTAAGTTCCTTCCAGCTAACCTAAAGATTTTTGCACTTGGAAAAGAAGGAAGAGATGTGGCAGACAACTCTTTCAGGTGCAACTTAAGACATCTTTTAATCTAAATTTTAGGTATACCCCAAGACCACAAACCCTTCTTAGTTTTCAAAATGGCTGGCTTTTCTGTGTCAGTCTGTGATGCTCAGTCAAAAAGCTGAATCCAGAAGTGAGACATACTTTTCATTAAGTTCTCATGTGCACCCCATATGGGTTTTCAATGTTTCTATCTTTCAAAAATGTTATATCTCTGGAGGAAAAAAAGAGAGAAAACAATAACAAAACCCCAGGTACAATAATACTACATGTTACAACCATAAACGTGTCCACAGTATGAAGGGAGCAACTCTAAACATGCACATGAGAAAAATATCTACATCTACTTCCCCAATCCCTCCACTTAAGCAAGGGAAAAAGATCAGTAAAAAGTGATTCCAAATTACCAGGAGAATTTGTGGCTTTCGAAGGTTACTCAAGTCAACAAGCATCAGCTAAGAAGCTCTTGCTGACAGTCTAGGATATTCAAATTCTCTTTTTATGTACAAATGAGGTACAGTAGAGGTGTTGGCAGTGTCAGCTCTTGCCAGCAGTGCCTCACCAGCATCTCTCAACCCTGACCTGCAGGAACTGCCCAGAGGGCTGAGAGAACATTATCACCTTCATGATCTGTTCAAGCTTTCAGCTTCCTCCAACTACAGATTACCACATAGCTGACCTCAGACATGTGATTCTAACCAATGAAATGCTGTTCCTATGCAGCACAAGCAGCAGTGCACTTCAAAATCTGAACGCTTGCTCTCACCATGAAATCGTCAGACCTAACTTACAGTAAGAACAAAACTAACAATCTAAAAAACTACAAGATTTCTGACAATTCCTAAATCACAAGAAGAAATTTTCTCAGTCAGCTACGGTTCTTCTCCAGTCCATTAGAAACTAGACCACCATTTTTCAAAAAGTTAGAACTGGAATTAAGAAGTCACAAGGAAGGCATCAGCATTCGAGCGAAGATCGAGGCCTCGAAAGGTAAAGCACTTTATGAATTCTTCCCAAATTTTGGCAAATGAGAAGTAAAATCCAGATGTAAAGAAGTTCTGACATGAACATGCATATTTGACAATTACTACCCAAGCGTTTTCACATCCAAATGTTACACAGAAGTAAAACAAAACACATTTTTGTGGCTGCCACTGAACAGCTCAAACTTTTTTTTTTTTTTATTTTACTACGTCCATGAAAACTCCAGGACAAATGGATTCTGAGACTAGGATTTGCACTTTGGCACTTTTAATCACAGTCAATCAAAGAGAACACTAAGAACATTATGTTTTTTACTTTTTGCAGTGGTTTTATGAGAAGCTCATTTTCTTGTCAAGTTTGAAAATCTCATCCTACCTGTCCATGTAGAAGGGGAAACAAAACTTGGTCAAAGTCTGTAGAACTTCCTGTGGAGAGAAAAAAAAAAAAGAAAAAGAGAGATAATTTATACATCCAATGGGACCAATAAATCTAATATTAACCACATCACACAATTTCACAACTTTGCCCTGAAGAAAGACGAGACAGATGAAGAAATATGGGCTTTATCAATTACATGGAAGGAGTACCAGGCAGTCAATCATGTGAAATAATAAACATGATCAAACTTCATTAAAAATGAAAAATTAATCAAGATTCACACATGGGCAGGCAGCAGGAGCCATCCAGCAATTCTCCAAAGGATAGGAGGAGGTTGGGTTGTTGAGTGTTAACACTTCTCTAGGGACAATCTCTACCCTGACCATATGGATCATAGTGAATAACACCAACCCACATGGGTTTGGCCTGGCAGGACCACTTCTGCTGGCACAGCTTTTGACTGTTACCTAGGAACAGAGGTCTGGGGGATTAGAGAATACTTCCCAACATCAGCAAGATAAATAACAAAAGATAAAGCCAATAGGTCTCCTAGCAGGAATGTTTAACACTGCCTGCTGCTATTAGAAAGACAATGTGAGTGTTACAAGACCGATTAAAATAACGAGTATTAAAAGAAATACTAACTGTTTAAACTACAAACCATTTCCTAAATGTTGCAAAACAGCACCACACACACAGAACTTTTAAACATACGTATGATCTAAAAAAAAAAAAGCACGACTGTGAAAATTAGAACATTAAAAACATTTTAATAAATCACCTTCCACTGCACGCCTTTAAATGAATATAGTCATTAAAGAAGCAAAAAAATACATGTACCAAAATAGCTGCATTCACACACAGAAGTAATCTGCTCACACTGTGTCCTTCTATAATATTCCAATTTGTATTACAAAATCCACCATAAAGGTCAACTCAGATTGCAGACCTACTACCAGCCAGTTCATCATCCACTCTCCTTCACAGTGAAATACTTCAGGACCTGTAACATCACATATATTTCTGATTTCAGCTACAAGATCATTCTGACTGGATGGCAAACCTGATAAACTCAACACTTTTCTGGCCATAGCAATAAATTATCACCAATAACTAAATTGATGCTTTTCGCTTCATTTACTTCTAAAACCAATGCCACCATTCAACAAATAAACGACATCAATCTAATCACCTATTCAATGAAGCGGAAAGCATATTGACTCTCTTGCAAGAACATGTTCCTCCTACATAATTCAAACAAGCACATCCCATTCTTAGCAATGGTTTCAAGCTCAACTGCTCCAGAACTATTCTTCGGAGGTCTCCTGGCGACTAAAATGGAGCAAGTTCTTTAGATTTCATGCAGAAACAGATATGGAAACTTTGACTTCTTGACAGTTTATTGATAGATTATTTAACAACCTTCTGTTTTTAAAGAACAAGAAAGAATCCATTGAAGTATGGCATGTAAAGCAATGAAAAAACCTCCTTTCAATTTTAACAGAGGAAACCTGTGAAGCATCCATGCAGGTTTCAGAGTAAAGTCTGCAGAAACGCATTTTCATCCAAGAAGCCTTGATAGTAAAGAACTCAATTAACAAGACTGGATTCATCCTTGTGCAGTGCCTGACTTCCACAAGGACTGACAGTCTCCTGCACAACTCCAATAGCTCATGCACAAAAACTGCACCTGGACAAATCTAAGTTATTTCACACTTGTCCTTTACCCATTGCTGAAAGCTCAAACCACAAAAAAGAAAATCAGAATTGTAAACCAGCTGAAATTATAATTGCAGCAGAGTAAAGTGACTATGTATTTATTGACTTCATTCTGCATAGCAGCTACACACAATTCTGAAACGAAATTGTTTACAGATAACAAATCATCAATAACATAAAAGTAGAATGTACTCTCCATTATTTTGATAAAGCTTTGAATGTTTACTGTAACTGCCAGCATAAACACTTATTTGATAAAACATGTCTGCATCTCACCAGCATTGTGTTACTGGAGGATAATGGACTGTATTACTCAAAACTCTCTTTCCACTTCTCTTAATTTTTATGGCTTCCTAAAAACAAAAAGTGTGTTTAAAGAGAAAAAACATTGAATTTATTTCACTATACACTGCTCTGCCTTTCTAATAAAGACTCTGCAATGGTATTATAACATAGTTTTTGCATTATTGGACAAAACCTGCCACTCATTATATACCAATACCTATCTGTGTTGTCTTACAACTTTAAGATTGAGACTAGTACAGGTTAATCACAGACTTAGTTCTAAATTTTAACTACAACAGAGAATTAGGCTCTAATTAGCAAAAATGCTGATCTTTTGCATGTAAGACATACAATTACTAGAGACCGACCCTATTTTTGCTCAAGTAGCAAGCTTGTGAATACAAATATACTTTTTTTTTTTCCCCAATTAAGTAGTGCTCAGTTTTAAAGCTTGGCAATCCCTATGTAAAACCCAACTTCAGGTGATTGGTTACGACCTCGAAAAAAACATTCGCTCTTTAGGACTCCAAACAAAAAAACCCACCATAAAACAAAACCTACAACTCCTCCATGCCAGCATCTTATAATCCGTTCCATGTTTTTACCTGACATGAAACACAAGGGTAGTATCCATAGACTTTTTTCTTATTTTATTCCCTTATGCCTATTTTTTCAAAGAAAAACCTACAAAATGCCTCTAAAACAAAACATCTGAAAAGCAAACCAAACAATACAATCCAGGACACACAGCTGATAAGCGCAAATTACCCAGTAGCTGAAACCCACGTCTCTAGGGTATCACATGCCAGTTTTCTGGATCAATCCCCAAGTTTATATTTTCACAAATCTTCTTACATGCAGTTTGATTTTTAACATTTTAATGAGCAAAAAGTGCATCTATAGCAGGCAGCCAACACAGTTAAAGTGCAGGGCATGAACTGCGTCCCCGGAGGGATTCAGCCCAGCCGTGTCACCAGTGGCTTTAGGACATACACCACCTGGTTCCGTGTCCCAAGGTTCCAACTCTTTTCATAATCAAAACACTGCTGACATTATAAACCCCACATGGGTTTTCTAAAATCCTTCCCAATCAATAAAGCCAGTACATAACTTATCGGAGACAACACAGAGCTCATTGATTAAGTTTGGTTTCAGTAGCAAAGTTTTCAAAATAAATGAGCCAGGAAGAGAGTGTTCAGCCCTTTTGTGTCACACAGCAATTTATGGAGGTAAGGCAGTCTCTGAAACGATTTCTTTCTCCCTTCACACTCCACACAAGATACACTTTTAAAGCACACGGAAAAGAAAGCTGCTAAATACATTGGCATGGAGAGAAGACCTGACTCAGTGATGAAAGAGATGAATACTGGATTATATTCTTGATTTCCACTCAGAGGAAGTATAAGTGAGGTTTGCCATAAGCAAAATGCTGGACAGAGAGGGTGGAAAATGCAAGCAGTCTTTGTCTTCTGCAGCCAGAAATACCACCAGAATCCATGAAACCAGCATGAAATGCATCCTGTTTGCACCGAGGGCCACCCAAAAAGCTGCAGGAAGACCTCAGCAGGCAGAGGAGGAAAAAAAGGAGCTCTGAGAGCAGGGAGGGGCACAAAGGGGCTGCAGAAGCACTGAGCGGGGCTATGGAGCTCTGCCTGGGCCTGAGCTGCAGATGCTTTTGTGGGGGCTATTTTAGCTGAGAGCTACAGAACAAAGCAACTTACTGCAAGCTACCATGAAGTGAAATGAGGGACTAAAAGAAATTCACCACTGAACGGTTTTGTGTATTTGTTATTTCTGCTCAGAAACAAAATCAAATTTGAACATGTTGATCTTTGATTAATGTTAATATTTGAAAATGTAAATACAACATAGGAGTGCTAAGAATTTAAGTAAAACATTATTCAACTATTTTTAAATTTGAATAGTACTTTAATCTACCTTATTACCACAAAATTGTAAACTGCTTTCAAATTTAAATCATCTATTTGCATAATTTTAAGCTAAGAATTATTTAGATCACCCACTGCAATGGAACAACAGGATTAAGAACTCCAAACAGATGTCAGCGCACCCAAATAACCAACTTAAAACAGGCAACAACTCCATGCACAGAACACTGAAAGGAAATGTACAAAACCTACAGCAACGTAAACCCTGTTTGCTGTGCAGTTGGTCAGAATTTCACGTATGTGTTCCTAGGAAAGGAAACATCCTTATGCACGTCAAAAAGGAGCACCTCAGTAACAAGTGCTGCTGCTACCTTAAACAGCACTCTACAAAGCAGCTACTTTACAATGACCAGGAAAACGCAGTCTTGCATCAGCGTCTTACTGAAATAATACAGATCTAAGGAAGTAATACTAGAACAACAACAAAAAAAATCCATCCACTAACAAAGACAACAGTAACAATCAGGGATCAGTAAATCTCATCTTCCGAAGGTTTAGACGTTAATTTGCATTTGTTAGTAATGCTGGCTTGTATCAAATTGTCCTAAAGTTACTATTATTAAAGATTATCTCATCAATTATGTAATTGTGCCATGTAATCATGTACTTAACATTCAGAAGCATTCCAACAGCTTTATAAAATGAATTCTCAAATTAAAGTAAGGTATCCTGCATGGAAAGGCTGCGTCACAACAAAGAGCTCCAATTTTTGCATGATATCAGATCACAGAAAGCAAAGAACAGTAAACATAAAAGCACCATTTTCCTCCATTTTAAAGAATCCATTTTTTTCCAGTACTGACAGCACACATTCTTAAAAGAAGAAAACCTTGGCTCGCAAAACACATCAAACTTCATCTTGCATTTGTGTATTTGGTATCATTCTACATCTCGTAGTGCTGAGCATTAATAGCTTTGATAATCACCAAAATATATTGGGAATCAATTTTAATCACCTCTTTAGAAAGCTCTTCCACTCTAAAAGAAACAGGTGCATCATTTACAATTATACTGTCCCAACTTCGTTTTCTCTCTACTTTTTTAGCGCTCTTTGTATGTCAGCACAAATGTCCAGGACCAGTCCACCCATTTGC